GATGGGGAAATGTTGGCAGTTTTCTCAAAAAAGGCTTGAATTCAAGAAGTTTTAGGTGTGCGTGGTTTTTTTTGAGTTGTATGTATGTTTACCAATGTATGTGAACCATTTGAGCCACAAAATTCGTTTTCAAGGATCAAAAAATGTCGGAAACTGTTCACGTTAAGGACAGTCAAAAAACGCTAAATATAATTGCGTTTATGCAAAAAAATTTTATGCAAACGCATGCCAAAATTGAATAAAACTGAATTTTCAAACTCCTGCGAAGGTTCGTGTGTGTTTTAATGCTTTTTTTGCGGAAAGCAATTAGCGCTTTCCTACCTACCGGCCAAAGAAAGCATTTTTAGCAGCAACCGATACCAACTTTTGCCGCAAAGTTTGAAAAATTTCTCAAAATCTTTACATGAACATGAAGAACCAACTTTGGAGTCTTAAGGAGACGGTGATTGATCAAATTCGACTCACGCTCTTTGATAGACTCGTACCTGCGGCAGGTCGATTTTCTTCCGAAGAATTGCTTTCCACCGCAGAAGTTCTTCGTTTTCTGGGGGCCGCAGCCGGCAGTCGCGTGGCGGCCTTCATCTTCGTCAATCCGCAGGAAGTTCTTCACGCTTTGATTAAATCGCGCGCGATTTCGCTTCACTTTAGTGGCTCGAATTGATGATTTATTGCCGATGAAATTCGAATTCGATGCTGCGATCCACAGGACTTTGAAGTCCCACCCTTTTGTGAGTAGTTTGTCGAACCTTTTTTTATATTTACTTTAGAACTTCACTTATTTCGTTTGCTTTAGTTCTTGTCGGGTAAGTAAATTAAATTGGATACAGTTTCAATTAATAATAGTTTATTAGTAGCGCAATAAAATGTTGCTGTTAATCAGTTTTGTCATTATAAGCGATGAATTTTCCCCGGAATTACCAAACCGCGCATCTTCAAATTCTGTTGTGAAGTGGGCGCATAAATTTCTCGCTTTTCGTTGATAGGTTGGCTAATTTGCACATTTTCGGTCGTTTATATTGATTTTAAAAGGCTCTTCTTCAATTTGCTCCAAAACGGAGTTTCCCATTCTACATAAAATAGTCTTTTATGGTGATTTCACAGAAATAGTGGTGGTTTTTGCAAAAATATGTCTCCATCCAGTTGATCCTTTCTTTTGCTTTGCGTTCTCGGTGTGTTCGCCCAAGATTTTTTCAATGCATTTTTAGTTGCCTAAAGGTTTACAACACGAAACATGAAACAATGAAAGTTTTACACCACGTGAAAAACGCATTCACGTAGAACGAAAGCATGTTCAAGCAGAAACATGATTAATTTCACTCTCCCTGGGCTTTTGGTACTAGTTGGGCAAACAAAAGTTAGCCACTGAAGACTCGATCTT